CAACGCCGGAGTCAACTAATAATTATTTTATTATTTAATTAATATATATTTTAAGGAATGGACTCATTTTAAGGAGTGGACTCATTTTAAGGAGTGGACTCATTGGATCCCTTTATTTGAGCCTATATATATATAAATATATAGGCTCAAATAAATTGTACCATAAAGCCTTCTAATGTTATAAACTTTACACATACTTCGAATAATCTTGGTGGGCGATTAATCGAAACTCCCTAACTCTCAAAATATGAAGAACACGATTTTCCTCTTCTTTATAAGAACCTTAAAATCGGATCATACGCATAGGAGAACAGGTTGGAACATGGTGTATTTATAGGCTACATTAGGGACCTTAAGGAGGTGCTAAATATGGGCTTATCCCATTAGGCTAAGGAATCCTAATTCTACTCCATATACTTTTCCAAACAAGGATAGAACTCTCCTACTAATTATCACCTTCTAGAAGACTCTCAAGTCTCCTAACCCTAGGTAATATTCTAGAAGGAATATTCATCTCCTAATGGAATATTAATTATAGAATAAAATTAAATCTTAATTTCTAAATAGAATTAAATAATAAAACATTCCACTAGAGCAATATTATTGATCTCCCCATTTAGCTCAAATTTATTCAATAAATTTGAACCTCCACTTGATTAAATTATATTAATCTAATTGATCGATTTATCTCCCCATGTTTAAGACATAACGTCCGTTGATTAATTAAATTACTGACAAAATAATTAATCAACTTCTTATTAATTTCCGAAACTAGTACCACTCAGATCCTTAATCATTATGCCGGATAACACATCCGCCTGCAGGGCTTGACATAATATTCATTCCTGAGCTCATTTCGGGGACGTCATCAATCCAGCGCACTGGGACACAGTGACCATAAATAATTTATAACGGCACATCATATAAACACACTTATTTACCAAAATACCGAGTATGTCATCCTAGCAAAATAGGAATCACCCTTGATAAATCAAATAAATAAGTAATGAATACATATGTCCATTTTATATTATCTTACAGCTTAAGAGTACGCATCAATTACTGAAGGTCTAGGTTACAACAACGATCAGTGAGTCTCATAATCTTATCCTTCTGTGGTCCTGTACAACACCTATCATAAGTGCTAGTGTAATTCTCCAGTCAAAGACCAACTGAATCAAGAATACACTACAGTCTTTATCCAAGAGGGGTCTCACTACCTGTCTAGACCGTGAACGAATAGTTTAGTCTTACAAGGAACCGATAGGTGATCTTTCTGTTCGAAACACTTCGAATCACACTATCTCAATGTAAGACAAGGAGTATGATTGCATAAATAAATGAACTGCAAGAATATGTACTTTGACCGAAACATGATGGCCAAATCAAAATGAAATTGATAGAATCTGTAAAACCGAGCTTTTACAGCATACCTCTAACAGTTTACATGAAGTTTTCCCTGGTTTTCGCTCTGGCGTTAATGGGTAGGTTTGTCATCTTCGTCGTTCCCTCTATGGCTTGAAGCAGGCTCCCCGCTGCTGGTTTGCCAAGTTGTCTACGGCTTTGAAGCAGTATGGTTTTCGTTAGTCCTATCATGACTACTCTCTTTTTATGCTGCATTGTGGTTCTGTCCATCTGCAGGTCCTAGTCTATGTTGATGATCTTATTGTTTCCGAGAACGATACCACATCCATTGCAGCCTTCAAGAGATACTTGAGTCGTTGTTTTCACATGAAGGATCTTGGGTTGTTTAAGTATTTTCTGGGTATCAAGGTTGCCCAGAATTCTTCTGGTTTCTTTCTCTGTCAGCGGAAGTATGCTCTTGACATCATAGCTGAAGTCGGACTACTAGGGAGCAAGCCAGCTGATTTTCCATTAGATCATGAGTGATATCGTCGTTTAGTCGGACGTCTTATCTACCTGGCAGTGACTCGACCTGAATTGTCTTACTCGGCGCATATGCTCTCTCAATTTATGCATCAACCACGTCAGACTCATTGGGGCTCTGCCTGCGAGTGGTTCGATATTTGAAAGGCTCTCCTGGTTCAGGGGATTCATCTTCGTACTCACTGCGATATTCAATCCTATGCATAGTGTGATTCGAATTGGGCGTCTTGCCCTCTCACTAGGCGTTCTCTTTCTGGTTGGTTTATTCAGCTGGGTCAGTCTCTTGTTTCTTGGCGAACCAAGAAACAACCTACAGTGACAAGCTCTTCTGCTGAGGCTGAATATGAGACGATGACTACTACATTATGCGAGTTGAAGTGGTTACGGGGACTGTTATCTACTCTTGGTGTCGCTGACTCTCAGCCTATGCGGTTACACTGTGGCAGTCAATCTGCACTGCATATTGCGGCGAATCCGGTATTTCATGAGCGCACAAAGCACATTGAGGTGGACTGCCACTTTGTTCAAGATGCTGTTCTTCAGGGTCTTATTTCTACTACTCATGTTCTTTCTGGGGTACAACTCGCTGACATCTTCATCAAGGCGCTTGAGAAGCGTGATTTTGATTTCTTCCTTAGCAAGTTGAGCATTCGGATTCCGCATGCTCCAACTTCATTGGGGGGAGGGGTGTGTTATTGTGTCTATTTGTATATTTACCGTATTAACCTTAGGTTATCTGTAGCCCTAATTTTGTGTATATATTCTTAGTTTATAAAGAGTTGCATCATCCGATTGAGATGATTTTCACTCCAAAATTTGTGTCGTCTCTCTCGTATCAAGTGCGCTTCAATTATTTTATTATACACATTTTTGTGTTCTTTTTTTTTTTTTTTTTAAGTTGTGATACGATTTGGTTATTTTAGTTGTTGGGTTCGGTTTTTCGATTTTGTATGGTTTATTACGGTTTTTCACATACCATTGCTCACTCCTAATTGCCAAGCTTAGATTTTATGTTAGGTGTACGTTTGGTCCCATGTCTTCAAGATTACCACGTAATTAGGTTTGGACTTTGCATATGCGATCCCATGAAATTCTAAAATTTTCACTTCTTCTTCAACGTTTTAAAATAACAATTGGTATGTTTTTATTGTTTTTTCTTTTCGAATAATAAGAGATTGTGGAAGAATTAATTGTTTCAAGAATGTAAAATGGTTGACATAAAGGGTAATATTTATTGTGATTGGAAATTTATAATTGATATTTTAAATATGTAAGTAAATAAATAATATACTTTATAAATAAAAATGCAATAATTATTAATCTTTAATTTAAAATTTGTAATAAAAAATTTGGTAAGAGAAAAAAGGGTAAAAAGAAAATAGATGATAATGGTATTGTCCGATTGGTGGACGGATAACTTGGATAAGTGAGATTTAAAAGTGGATAAAAAAATGTTCTATGTAAAAATTTCAACAATAATTAAATCACAAATGCCAATCTTATTATTTTCGGTGCAAAAAAACGAATAAATAATATTATTATTATTATCGCCGTCCAACTGTTTTCATAGAGACGGGGTTTTAGCCAAGGCCCAACTTTCTCACCGCCGCCGTCGTGCCCTAAACCTTTGCTTCTACGCCGGCGCCGGCGATTGGAGTTGATCGGAAAACCACCATGGCCGCACCCTCTTCCTTATTTTCACTCTCCCTATAAACCCCAAGACAATACTCGTTATCCTATACGCATCACCACACAGAAATAATGTTAACTCTCCGACGCGCGAGGCAAACTCTATCCTTCCTCTGCCCGCCGTCCTCCGCCGCCGCGAATAATAGCATCCCCGCGGTTATCTTCTTCTCCTCGCTCTCGCACAGCCCTTATCCGTTTTCCGCATCCTATCCCGCGCCTCCTGCCGCCCTTGATATCATAGCTCCAGATGGATCTCAGCCGGAGGTGCAGCCAAAAGAGGTTGCCTCCTACTTCAGGGATTGGTTCATGTCGCGTAAGAAACCCCTCTTTGACAGCATCTTCGAGATCCTCCGCGCTCAAGAGGAATCCACCATCGATTCAGCTCTTTCCAGATTAAATCTCAGGCTGTCGGAACCCCTAGTTCTCGATGTCTTGGATTACGGCAAGAAGGACGTGCTCTCCTGCTTGAAATTCTTCGACTGGGTCGGCAGGGAGCCAGGGTTTCACCACAACAGAGCCACGTTCAACGCCATTTTCCGAATTATATCCAAAGCCAAGATGATGAACTTGATGATGGACTTTCTCCAGACCTATATGAAACAGAGATATGTTCACAGGATCAGGTATTTTTGCATCTTGGTGATGGGATATTCTGTTGCCGGGAAACCCGAGACCGCGCTCCACGTGTATGGCAGAATGAGGTTTGCAGGCGTGGACTTGGACGAGCTAGCGTACCATGTGCTCCTCAACTCGCTCGTCGATCAGGGTTATTTTGATGTTGTGGAGACGGTGGTTAGCGAGATTATGCTTAGAGGTTATCAGAATAAGATCACTCATTCAATTATGGTGAAGAGTTTCTGCAAGCAGAATGCATTGGAGAGGGGTGAAGAGTATTTGCGTAATCTTGCTCGTGATGATGCTAAACAGTTGAGCGATACTTCTGTGGGTATCGTTGTGGATGCCTTGTGTAAGAGTGACCAATTCTCGAAGGCTGCATTATTGGTTGACGATTTTCAGAGGATGGGTGTAATCTCACTGGATCATGCATACGGTGTGTGGATTAAGGATCTTGTCAATGCTGGGAAGCTTGATGGTGCTTTGAGAGTCATGAAGGATAAACAAGTTGTCCAGGGTTTTGTTCCCGATGTCTTCCATTACAACCTGTTGATTTGCAGGCTTTTGAGGGAAAATAGGATTGAAGAGGTGTATGATTTGCTGGTGGACATGAGGGAAAATGAGATGTTGCCTGATGATGTCACTATGAATGCTACTTTGTGCTTATTCTGCAAAGTGGGGAGGATGGATATTGCGATGGAGTTGCACAATTCACGGGCCGAATTCGGCCTTTCTGTCAATTACATGGCGTATAATAATCTTATAAATACTCTTCTGGGGGATGCCAGTGTTGATGAAGCTTATCGCGTGTTGAGGAATTCAATGGAACAGGGTTTTATACCCGGACAGAAGACATTTTCTATTATTACCGATGCTCTGTACAGAGATGGAAGGCTTGATAAGATGAAGGATTTGGTTCTTTTTATGTTGGATCGGAATGTGATGCCCGATAATGCAACATATGACAAGTTTATATCTGATTTTTGTCGGGCCGGGAGGGTTGAAGAAGGGTACTTAGTCCACAGCCTGACGAGTTCACTGAATAATATATCCCGGAAGAGTACTTACATGAACCTGATCAGTGGGTTTAGTAAGTCGAGCAGAGTAGGTATTGCAGCTAGATTACTCATGGAAATGCAAGAGAAACGTTATATACCAAATAGGAAATTGGTGAGAGAGGTGATATGTTGCATATGTAAAGCAGATAATTCGGAGAATCAATTTTTTGGATTGCTTGAGATGCAGCTTGCTCGAAATCAGTTGCCTGCCTCTGTTGTTTACAAATATTTTATTGATGGAGCTGGTCGTGCAAGGAGACCAGAACTAGCTAGCCAAGTCTTCGAAATGATGAGAAGAAATGGTATTAAACCTGACCTTTCTTCCAGCATTCTAGTGTTGCTGAGTTATCTGAAGAGCAGGAAAATTGCTCAGGCTTTGAATTTGTTTGGTGAATTGTCCATGAGATGGCATAAAAGGAAACTGTGGCATATTATGGTTACTGGTCTATGTAAGGCTGAAAAGCCCGAGTATGCATCAAAAATATTGGATGATATGAAGTCAAAAAAGTTGACACCGACCGTCGAGTGCTACGAGGAACTTATAAAGGTATATTGTGATTTAGGGAGATATCATAATGCTCTAGATCTTGTGAATGATATGACTCAGATGGGTCGTCCCATTTCTTCCTTCATCGGGAATGTACTTCTGTTGCATTCATTGAGAACCAGGAAAATATACAGGGCTTGGGTCTATTTAAGCTATAACCAAAGTTTATCGCCTGTCTGTTGGACGTTAGGTCACATCATTGGTCTGTTTTCGGGTTCCATCGAAGAAGATTATGATTGTGTCGAGTTAGAGCAAATGATTCAAGAATGCTTCCGCATGGATTTGTACACTAATAATATGCTGTTGAGAAAACTAGGCATGAAGGGAATAGACCATGCATGTGAATATTTTGACAGATTAAGAGAGAGAGGGTTTGTGCCCAATAGATGGACTTATGATATAATTGTCCATGGTTTAGCCAAAGCTGGACGGACTGATGAGGCTAGGCCATGGTTGGAAGAAATGATTCGTAAAGGGTTTAGCGTAACTGAGAGTACCAGAAAAATTTGTCGAAGTTGAAGAGGAAGTCGCTGTGTTTTGGAGGAAGGTTCGAAATAATGGGCAGATGCTCTGAAAAATCTTGGTGAGTTTCTCATTCTTGAAATACAATCTTTTGTTTGTTGAATGCTGTTTGCTTAATGTATTAGATCTGTGTTGGATCGAAAAGAATGAAAATAACAACTTGCTGTTACTGATGCTTTTTTGCTACTTGGTATCCTGATATAACTCCGTTTAGATAAGTGGCGTTAGAACTATAGCTGGCACATCATTCTATAATTCCTTGATTGAGAGACTTTATAATCCCCTGAGACCTAAAATTCTGGAAAAAATGAAAATATTTGCTGTTGATATATAGTCCTTCATTTAAATTGGTTTAGAATTGATACTTGGGACCCTCTTGTGAGTTGTTACTGGACACCCTACTGGTTTACTGGACACCCTACTGGTTCGAAATCAAAAAATAAAATAAAATAAAAAAAGAATGAATAAATGGATAAAAAATAATGACAATTTTTGTGTAAAGCGTCTTGCATGAAATTTGCGTTTTCAGTTTGTATCTACTTTATCTCAACTGTACATACACCTTAATAATAGTCATTTGTTCATCAAAAGTGTATAATTTACCGGGTAGGTCGACCAGAGAAACACCGGGTCTTATGTAATACCTTTGAGTATTTCTTTATAAAAAAGAGTAATAATTTGTTTAAAAGGAAGGCAAAGAAGAAGACCTTCGTGTTTCTGATTGTCTAAAAATGTCTTATCAATATCTTGTATAATTTTATCTACACCGCACACCTTCTTGAAGTTATATTATTCTCATTAATTGTACACTCTGCTTACAGGTGGTTTGATGATATAAAACAAGGAAGCTGCCTTCGGAAATTATTTGTAGAGTCTCAGGTAAAGGATCACTTAACAGTTAGACCTTTGCAGAAAAATGTGTTCACATTTTTTTCTTTTTTTTTTTTTTTTTTTTTTGTCCTTCCAATAGAAATCGTGGCAAATACTTCAACCCCGGACTATTAAGTCCACCATGGCCTATTTTGTTCGTTCATTGTATCTGCTAACATATTAGATGTGAGGAAATAACATTTTCACTTGTGTAGACTTGTATATTTTTATGTCAAAATTTTTATGTGGGGTTTGCTTATTCTGCAGGTTCTTGGAGCAAAGTGCTGCCATATATATGCTTCAGTATTTTTGCTTGGGAATATTCTGCTTCAACTGCTAGCCAAATTATTTGTAGAGTCTTTGTCACGAGTTACCTTACCAGTGAATATATTCACGAAGGCTAACCGAGCATTGAGTGATGCTTTTGAAGGAAATTATCTCACCAGAAGCAAATTTTGGACATGGAAGCACAGAGCTGATGTGCTACAGTAGACATACTGATGATATACTTCTATAGATGAAGTGGTGTCCTTGTTAGATCTAGCAACGTGTATATATAGAATGCTTACAGCATGAGGAAGCATATTTTTTACAATTATTTATTGTGTTGTATTCACCTCCAGTAAATTTTATGGCTCATTTTGATTATTTGAGTAATAATTAAAAATCGCAGTTCGTCTCGTTCTTGCAACAAGCTTGTGTATAGGGCATGGGATTCGAACTCTGCTCAAGTCTGGCTGGAGATTGTTGATTTGGATTTGTTTAATCGACCCATTTTGGTAGCTCTTACCAGAATTCTCAAATCTCCATGGAAACTTCACTTTTTGGCAGCCTCAATATTTGCAGTTGAAGTCAAAGCGGCTTCCGAGCTTTCGAGCCAACGTTCGATTCAAGGTCGAGCTTGTAGTTTGTACGCTCGACGAGCAATGTACGTAAATTATTTAAATACCCATCACTCTAACATTTTTTTAATTGAAATTTTCAACCAAAACCCGACCAACACCCACGAGCAGCTCGAATGTATGTAAATTATTTAAATATCTTTCACTCGACATTTTTTAATTGATATTTTTTAGTGAAAACTCAACCAAAATTTGAGCCGATCTTGAACATGTGTTTTGCTGTCGAGTTGATCCGACCCAGCCTCAAGCAAGATTGGTCATCGAGCTCGAGCCAATGTAAAACAGTCGAGCATGGCTCAATAAGGGTGACGCTCGATTCGGCTCGACACGTTTGCAACCCTAATCATGAACACATCCTCAGATTTCAAATAATTTTTTTCTCCTGTGCACAGCATCAACATTCAAAATAATTTTCCTCACAATAAGCAAAATTGACAACTGTGACTAGGCTAAGCTAAATCACACCTAAAGAATTCTGCATCCTTGTACATGGATCAATGAATGTATAGAATAATACAACAGAACACAAACAGAATAGCTCGTGTAACACGTATAGATGTACGTGTGCTCATCCGACCACACAACTGAATCGGCGTATCATCGTGAACAACGTAAAAAAGCTGTGTTAAGCCAAGAATAACTGCAAACAACCAAGTATATATAACAATGCTGAGAAACAACAAACTACCATAATACGAAAAAAACCTAAATGGCTTTCGAACTCTTACATCCTCTTCCGGGATATCTAAAATCGTCTAAATAAAATCATATTTGAGCGAATAAAATCTCGTTCCATGTGTCGGGAACTCCAGGCATACACCAGTGCAGACAATCCTGCATCCCGGGCGTTGCTCGAATACTGTAACGGGAAATATGCCCCTCGTCCCTTAACTCAGATAAAGCTGTTATATCCAAAAGCCTCACGTTAGTCCCCCTTACAGCGTCGGCAGCATCAGGGTCACTAGAATCGTCTTTCGAAACCTCCTTCCCTCCGGAAAGAGGGGTAGTATTGTCACAAGTCCCCCCCGTATTCCAATCCCCGTTGAAAAAATGCCTAGGCGAAATAGAACGGAAAAAAGCTTTCAAACTGGGGTACAAAGGCAGCTGTGAATCAACCCATTTCACAATACTGTGTACGGTGAAATTTTTCGCGCCTGCAATTTCCGCTATTCTCCTGTTCGTATTGGGGGCTCCACCAACATACATGACCCACTTGTTGGCCTTGAGTTTACCTCTGTTCCAGTGGTGGCCCGTGTTGAGAATAAGGACGTCCAATTTGTGAATAAACCGGGTTAAAAACGAAGGGGCCCGGTCGAGGTGCATCGCGATTTCGGTATTTGGGTCAGAAGGGTCGATCGGTTGTAAATCACAGAGACTTGCGGACCAGTAGTAGAGGATTGTGGTGTTGGTGCTGGAGAAACGGTAGGCCCAGCCGTCGGGCCTGATGGCACCGCGGGCTTTGACGAGCCCGTATTCATGGCCCACATCTAGGACATCAGGCCTTTCCTCTCCGCCTGTCACCATGCACATCAAGGATTGGAACTGCTGCCGGCCGAGCGAGTCCCCAACAAATGCCAGGGTTTTATTCGGCATTCTGCATTTGAGGAGGTTTTTAATACGGATAATTTAAACGATTTTAATTTAAATATGATTATTTTAATACGGAAAAAAAAACTAAATGGCTTTCGAACTCTCACTCTGTATTAATTTAAATATGATTATTTTAATTTTTTAGTATATAATTAATGTATGTTTTATGCATAACAAATAATTTTTTTTTAATATTTAAAAATAAATAAAAAAAATACATGAGCCTAGAACAGCCGCCTAGGCAAAAATCGGGCCTAGGTGGGTGCATAGGCCGATTTTTAGAACATAGCTTAAATGTACCTCTGCAGAAACTTGGAACGCGTGAATTCTTCCATTTTACAGTCCTTCGGTTTCCAGCGTAGTTTTTCGTATTCAAAATCTGTACGCTGTGTCAGGCGGCAGGCCCACATTGGCGACAACCATTGCTTACAGCCGAAACCAGAATATAAAGGTCGGCTCTCGTCAAACACCCATTTACCTTTTGCATAATTACAATCTGAAATATGAAAAATGGGTTACAACATGTTGTAATAAATGCTTTTTTCAACATATGAAATATCACAAGCAGTAGATGAAATGAAATATCCACTACACAATAAGTTGGACGTCAGATATACAGAAACTAAAATCATAGGAAACCCAAGGAAATAATGCAAACTCAGGAACTTTTACTGTGTATCTTCCCTTTGCTGAAACAACGGGAACTTAATGAGAGAAATTTAATTTCATAAATAGTCGGGTGCAGAAAGGGATATGCTGCATGCAATACTTATGCATAGACACAGCATGTCAGATCAGATCATGTTCGTGAATGCATTATAAAGGCCTGGATTTCTAATTTCACATGAAATGCCAAATCAATAAACCAGAGTTGAATTTAACCTTTTCTTTCAGTGCTAGCCGAAAAGTTTCTTGTTTCCAATGGTTTGAGAGATTTCTGTGGCTCATTTTCTGCTTGTTTTGATATGTTTTTTCCATCAGGGTGTTCGTGTAATTTTGTTTTTTCTGCAACACTGGGAAGAATTTCTGCAGAAAGAGAAAAGATACATTAAAATTAAAACTTCAAATATCTGATCTTGTGAGAATAAATTTCATGGTGGCCAAGCCAGAATTGAATTTGTATTTAAATGTAACATTTATTCTCAGTGGTAGCGGGTAAGTTTCCAGTTTGCTCACTTTTGACAGATGATTCTGCCACGTCCTCTTCGTGTTTTGATTTATTTTCTCTTTGAGAAACTTCTTGTGACCTTGTTCTTTCTGTAACATTGTCAAGATCATCTGCACAACAGAAGTTATTCTACAAAGTTGGAGTTTTGTTTTGAGAATAATAAAATATGGGACATGCAATAAGCACAACAAAAATAGTGATAACAAATAACAATTTGGTAAATCACAAACTTGTGACAAAGAGACGCACACACAACTACCCCCACATAGAAATACAAAAACAAGTTATGAAAGTATTAAAAGAAAGACACTTGGGTTTACTCTAATAGGTTTACCAAGGAGCAGGGCCATAACAGATTCCAAAGACCATATCCACCGTAAATCCAACCCAGTGTTTTTAATTTCAAAATGTAAATCATTTTAATAAGTAAAATAAAATAAGAACAATGCCAAAAATTTGTAGCAGCAAAAAAATGCGAGTTTTATTTAATTAATTATTTATTTCTGTCTCCCCATAAGTGCACTTCTAGTTCCCATTCACCTCAAAGTGCAGACAACATTCTTTTTTCAAACAATTTTTTCGGAAACTAAATCTTCATCTCCTATGACCTCACCAATCTCGGTCACCCAGAAATGGTAAGTTAAGGATATTAGCGTAATTGATTCGTTAACTTAAACATAAGAAGATAGAAAATAAATTACAGGTGCAAAAGAATTCTTCAACACTGACATCAGAATTCATGAACTAAATTGGTCTGGAGTAAAGTGACCATGAGATATAATCTACGTCGAGGAGCAGTCACTTTAAAACTCTACACTGACAAATGCGCACATTCCATAATCTACTCATTGGCTAGCAAGAAATTGAGAAAAAAAAAAAAGCACGTGAATCAGTTTAGTAACACACTGCACAAGAGGTAAACCTATGTGATCCAGTTGCAAGACACTACTCTGGGAAGAAGGGACGAACGATGCCAGCAATGCGGTCTTCTTCCATGTCAATGCAAGCACAGCAACACACACTAACCCAAGAAGGAAGAGGGAGACCTGTGAAATTTTGAGTCCTTGAATGCCTCCTTTCATTCTTGATACCTTCGGTTTAAAGGGATCAGAACCATCCAAACATCAATACATCAAGATAACACCTTTTTGGAACACTATCTGCAAACCACAAGAAAAATATCATAAGTGATGCACATTTCCAACTCAGTGAAGTTTCACAAGCAATGACTCGGAATCTCGGGTTCTCAAAGTTCACCAATGAATAAATAGCAGTACTTACGTGCAATGTACAATGACAAACTATGATGAAGATGGTGTAATTAGTTTCGTATACGGCCAAAACAGCTAGAGTTACAAAAATTACTTGGTAGGAAAAAGAAAATCACCATGGCATAAATCATGCCATACTATCGATCCTCTGAATCACAACAAAAGAAAAAATGACACTTTTTCATGGCATCATTGATGAGAAGAGTGAATTCACGCACCATCATTTAAAATTCGAGATATCAACAAACAACTCAAGTAATTAACACACTTCTTCGTACACTATAATTCTGAAGAAACAAATTTGGAAGCCCAAAAAAAAAAA